AAATACATTCCACGTACCACACAATCCTACAACCACTTGGCATTGCTACAAGTATATCTATCAGCCGCAACAATGTTTCGGTCCACGCACAGGAAAATCGACTTGCAGGCGGCGTCAAAGCCGTGGGGTACGGTATTCTGGAGTGGGAAGTGATTACAGCCAATACAACCTTGGCTATACCCACCACCCCGCCAGATTACCGCTCCCCAGGACGTTGAGGCCGCCTGCAATTCCAGTTTCCTGTGTTTGGGCCGAAACATTATTGAGACCCCCCAAGTGTTTCGGAAGTGGGCTACCCCGTTGTCTTGTAGGCTCATGATGAACGCGTACCATGGCGGCCAGCGCGCGGTCAGCGCGGTGAGCAGCAACAGGCTGCTGCGTGACATGTGATGATAGACGCCAGCCCTGACCTAGCTGTGGAACGTGTGTGAAACTCAGAATTGAGTGGTGACGCCTTCAGCCGAAGGAAGGAGGGCCGGAAGGCTGAGCCCACCCTGATTCTGGTGCTGAAACACCGATGCAATCAACAGTGAAGAAACGACGCGCACGACAGCATGTTCCGCCAGAGGTGTAAGTTCATTAGTCGTATCGTAAGTAAAGTGCCATGAGGTAGCGTTTACCATGTGGTGGACGAACGGCTCACGTGCCTCTTGTATATGGTCGCCTTAGAGCATGACGGCATTCGACATATAGTCTAGTGCACACGTACGACCCCTTTCCGCTGTTTATCAGTTGGGCTACACCTGGTCCGTCATGAAGAGGTACGCCGCTTCGGTGTCGGGATGAACGTCCCGAGACCGGATTGCGGAATGTGACGCGGACGACCAAATGACCGAGAGTAATCTCAAGCACATCTTCTTGGAGTGAGTCCATGCCCCGGTGGTCTAGTTTGTAGCTTCGGAACCTTCTAGAGGTCAGCTCGGTGGTTCGAATCCCGGCGTAAGCGAACTTTTCTTGCAAGTGAGTTTTTCTCTAGCTTCCGCTCCTGGCCTAGTGGATAGGGCTTGTTCGGGTGTACACGGAGGGAAGAGAGTGCTGAACTCTTCTAGCATCAAAAATCGAAGGCAAAGTACCGCAGGAGGGGAGGGTAGAGAGCGGCTCTTCTGTGTGACCACGGGTTGGAGTAAACGGCAGTGCTGTGAGCGCTGATTTGAAGTGAAGACAAAAAAAAAAGGCCTGTGGTGAAGTTGCCTTAACTTCTCGCTTTAGGGCGCATATGCTACACAAATACTAGTCTAAGCTCCGTAAGAATACTAGGCTCCGTATGGATGCGCCATTGCTTTTTCACGACGACACCGTAGTTGCTACGTCGAAGAAACATCATGCACTCGTCAACTGAACATATCTCCGTCTCTCGCCTTGCCTTGTTATCGATTTCGTACTTGTGCATCCCTCGTTGCACTTGCCCAAGCTTCCTCTTCTTCTTCAGCTCCTGGTGCCAGGCCGCGGCCGACCTTGTGCACCCGGTTTGGCCTACCGAGGGGTGTGTCATGCACGAGATCATCGACGAGATGATGAAGGCTGGCGTGCACGTACCGGCGGCTACGATTTGTTGTGATGTCTCCGCTCTGCTTGGCGGAGGAACAGGGGTTTCTCCGCCAAACGGAGGTGAGACATCACGACGAAGATCGTCACCGCCGGGCCGTGCACGCCAGCCTTCGTCGTCTCCTCTGCGATCTCGTCCGTGACAGACTTGGGCAGGCCCAGCCTGGAGCAGAACGTTGACAGTGGCCTGGCATTAGTAGAAGAAGAAAAGTGAAGGATCGTCACACATTCCGCGAGCTGGTGCAAGCAATGCGTGTACACTTGCGCTCTTATTGTACTTTACCGCCTGGTCCTCTCAATTCCATGTGTCCCTCTCTCGATCGAGCCATTTTACACCGGCTCTATCCAGTTGCTACAGGGGGGGATGCCGAGCAATACACCTCGATAGATACTCAATACATCCGCCATCGTCACCGGAGCGTGTTCCTCGAGGCCCTTGAAAGGAGACCTCACCATTCTGGCGACGGCCACGAGTATCGCTCGCTCTCGGGTCATGTGTGTATGTTACATCTTGCTTGGTGAAGCAATTGAAACCACAACAGGGCTCGCTTTTGTACCAGTCGGTCGTGGGTTTCTGCCTTCCTCATTTTTTTCACGTCCGTTTTTTTTCTTGCTGAATTTGTCGGCGTTTGTGGTCTTGAAGCACTCGCACTCCTTTGTTTGATCGTCGTCGTCTGCCACCAATAATACTCCCTCTGTCCGAGAATATAAGCAAGGTTTGGACAAAAAGCAATAGAACTCGTGTCTGCCGAACTCTTTTTCCGAACGGTTTTTTTTTCTGGTTCCGCCGCACTGGCGCGCAGCGCGCAGAACCGCTGCTCTTTTCACACCACCTCAACAAAGTGTGTTGCACCCCAGCACAACACGCCCGATTTCACCACCCCAACTTTGGAGCCCCGGTCAAACGCCTTCCCGTCTGCTGGCGGGACATGTCTGCTGCTGGGAGTGCCTCCCAGGGGCTCAAACGCAAGAATTTCAACGTTTCGGAGAGAGAAGAGGTGGTACGCTACCTTCTCGCCGACAGCGAAGACGGGGTTCGGCAGCATGGTTCGTACCACAGAGCCGCGGAGAAGTACGGGTGCCATTGGGAGACCATAAAGAGGATTTGGCAGAAGCACGAGAAGCGGGAGGAATCTGGAGATCCTAGTTTGTACATTGGGAACGACCGCAAGGGCCATTCCGGCTGCAAGGGCATCGATATTGAGAACCTACGTGCCCGCCTCCTTGAGATTCCGCTGAACGAACGCACGACACAGCGCCGCCTGGCCGCGGCGCTCGGGATTCCCAAATCCACACTGCACAACAACCTCAAGGCGCTTGGATTGAGAGCGCATTCC